AACTCTCTATGAGCCAAGCATTCACACATGTGAGTGTATGGGGGCCATTCCTATTCAAACCTCCATACTGGGCATGATGACACACGCCTTTAATCCCAGTATTTATTTGGAAGGCAGAGGCAGGTGGATCTCTGAGTTCACGGCTACCCTGGTCTACAGAACCAGTTCCAAGATACTCCAGGGCTACAAGATACTCCTGTCTCGAAAAGAAAAGAAAAGAAGGAAGGAAGGAAGGAAGGAAGGAAGGAAGGAAGGAAGGAAGGAAGGGAAGAAGATAAAAGAACTTAATAAATTTTCCATACCATAGGTAGATTTTCTTTAAAAAAAATAATAATAAACCTCTTAACAATATATTCAGAAGGCTGGAGAGATGTCTTAGCGGTTAAGAGCACTTGCTGTTCTTGCAGAGGACCTGGGTTCAATTCCCAGCATATCACCCATATCAGCCTCCTCACAACTGCCTATAACTCCAATGTCAAGGAATCCAATGCTTTCTTCTGGCTTCTGCAAGCACACACGTGCATGTGCACATACACACACAAATAATAAAAACACTCAGAAAAGTTTACAGGGCTGGGCATATGTAGCTCAGTGGAAGAATGCTTACCTGCATGCACAAGCCCCTGGGTTCAATCCACAGTACTGCCAAACACACACACACACACACACACACACACACACACACACACCAGTAAAATATGATAATACAGTTCACAGCTCTGACCTCTATATAGTGTATGATACAGCCTCTAACTGGAGAACTCTCATTCTTTTTAACAGTGTGTGGAACTCCACAAAATTTGGTCGTGTCCATAAAGCAAGTAATTCTCTGATTATTTTTTAAATTTAATGGATATTTGAAAACAAATGTTTGAAAACAAAAGTGATTTGGAATAGTTGAATAGGAAGGGGATTTTACAGGCTCTGATTCTTTGAGGCTGTGATCTGTGTTGCAACTCTATAAGTTAAAGCATAAGGATCATTCCATTGTTCTGGTAATTGAGTTTATTCTGCCCTGTCTTCACACTTTCTGCGTTTGTTAAATGCCATTCCATTGTTGTGTAAAGCCAATCTCTGCAAGAACATCTTAGTTTTCTAACTAAAAGCAGGGAAATGGCCACAAAGTAATACACCTGAAAACAAATTCTAAACCATATCCTATTTCAAAATCATATTAGCACTTCCTAAATGTTAACCAATTAACGAGCAATTTGCAGAAGTATGGAAATGTGTGAGAAATGGCTTCCTTGGAAAATAATGCTTCAGCAATAGATTTGCAAAGACCCAGCTAATATTACTCTAAGAATAGGAGAAAATTAGAAGTCTAGAAAAAGAAAGTATCTTTAATTCCTTGGCATCATGGAGGAATAATATTATGTAGCTGTAAAAATAGTTGAGTGGGTGTGTGTCTCTGTTGGTAAAGTGCCTGCCGCACAAGCAGAAGGTCCTGAGTCTGTATACCGCATCCATGTGAAAAGCTATAGCAGCATGTGTGTGTGTGTATATATATAATCAGGCCTGGGGAGTGGAGGCAGGAGGGTTCTCTGGGGTTCACTGGCAGACTAGGCAAATCAGTATACTCTAGATTTAGTGAGAGACCCTGCTTCAAAAAAAAAAAAATATGATGAAGAGCAATTGAGGAAGATACCTTTAGCTTCACATGTATGCATACATCTACACACATGCACACAACTTAGGAAGGAAGGAAAGAAGGAAGAAAGGTCTTACTGAGTAAAATAATGAAAGAACTAATGAGAGGGATTTGGAGAGATGACCAGATACAAGAGCAAATGGTGTGAGGCATGGGCTTCTATTCTTGTCAGCAACTATTCGTTTCTTGGACACATGGGATGTTTATTGCAAACAGAGAAAATAGGATAGAACCTGGCTAGATACCTACAGAGGATGATCAAATGTGCAATAAGCTCTGTGTGGTACAGAGTCATTTTTCAAAAGAATGACTTGAACCTAGAAAGATCCTCAGGATATAAATTTGTACAGAAAAAAAAAGTGTGCTTTTCTACATGTGTGTATATATGCATTATAATCTCATTTTAAAATTTTATTTAGATTTTTTAAAAAATTGTTTATTGTAGATGTGCATGAACATACACACTCCTGCTGACAACGGATAAGAGTCCCTTCTCTCCTACCTTTGCATGGATCATGAGGCTTGCCTTGTCAGGTGGCAAGTACCTCCAGGTCTATATTTCCTATTTCCCACCTATTGCTTTAAAAATGAGGGCAAAGCCAGGTGTCATGGAGCACTCCTTTAAACTCAGCACTTGGGAGTCAGAGGCAGGCCAATTTTTGTGATCTCAGGGTGAGTGAGCCTGGTCTACATAGTGAGTTCTAGGTTATCCAGAGCTACACAGTGAAACCCAATCTCGGGGCGGGGGAAGAAAGAAAGAGAGAAAAGAGAAGATACTCAAATAGAAATGCTTAATGCTGGCCATTAGAAAAATGTAAATATGAAAATCCATAGAGTGGGCCAGCAAGTCCCTAGCTCTCACATCCTTGTCCTCCCCTCACCTAGCCCTCTAGTAGTCCAGCAGCTCCTCCCCCCCTCCCCCGGGTCCCCCCAGGTCAAGATCGGGCTTCAAACTATCATCACAGTGTTTTGTGCAGCCCTTCCCAGTGCTTGCGATCGTAATGTATGAAAAAATAGCTTTCTTCTAAGGGCAGATCCTGTGTCAGCAAGAAACAATAGGGCAGGGTGGCAGTGCGGAGCGAACTTTCCCTTTCTTTAATAGGAGAGGATTCAAAATAAGAATTCAACTTTAAAATGGAAAAGGCAGACTGACGAGATCACTCATTTGCTAAAAGTGCTTGCAGCCAAGTCTGACAACCTGAGTTTGATCCCTGAGACCGATAGGGTCAAAGGGGAGAACTGACTTAGGCAAATTGCTCTCTGAGCTTTTTCTGTCTCCTTTCCCCCATCACACACACAAACACACACACACACACACACACACACACACACACACACACACACACACACACACACACACACACAAGATATATAAGGTTTGCTATATGCTTGATAAATCCTTGCACTTTAGAAGTGAAGGATGGTTTGAATCAACTGAAAAGAGCAGAGAGATCCATTTGAAGATGCTGCACATACAAATAGCCCGCAGTCATCCTGCCATAGTGCTGACAATAATTCATGAATCTTCAGAAGCTGCACAGATTCTCCAGTGGACAGTCTCACACCAAGGAGCATATAACTTGTGTCAGCTAGAGTTAGGAAAAATAAATAAGCACTGATCAGAGCACTGATGGAAAGTTGAAATATTTATATGGCAGCCCTTAGAAATGCAGAGAAAAGCTATTTTAAACACATTCTGAGCCATGCATTCTGTCAGTCCTGAATAAGCAGGGGAGCATGGACTTAGATGGATCTAGATGCAGACCCTGTAATTCCCATCAAGGAGGCTACCATTGTTTTGTCCTTTGTGAGAGATTAAAATAATGAATTTATATTAGTAAAATGATCAAGCTGTCTCCTGTGTCAGGACATATGAGATGCATTGGTATTGAAGTGCACACAATGTGAGCACCATCAGAGAGAAAAAAAATTCCCACTCACCTATTTCTTCTTGCTTCAGATTTGTGTCTGATTCTTTCTGTAGACGCTCCTGTGGGATTATTAGAACATGGAAGTAACAGTCCCACAAGGGGCTCATCTTCCACCTGACTGGCAGGACTTATAGAAGGCCACCAGTTTTAAGACGAAGTCTGATTTTAGGGATATGAAAAATGTGCCTTGGAATTGACCAAATTGGCACTGGGGTGAGGGTGGGGTTGAGAGGGAAAGGGAAAGAGATGCTTCCATCAGACTGATGTCATTGGATGTGACACACATACAAAAGTCAACAGGTTGTCTATAAGAAGGACATAGCTATCTGACAGAAGGCTGGTCAACTAGGACACTGTGGTATCCTTGGAAAAGAAGAGGGGGAAACCCAGAATGAAGGAAGAACATTCAAAGATGGCCAGTTAAATCTCCCACTTCTGTGGTCCTGGGGGCCCATGGCACAATCAAAGGTATCCCCAGGACCGATGCTGCCATTCATTAGACAAGGAGCAATGTTGATCTTCTAGAAGGTCCTCCAAACAGTTTGTCCTTCATATCCAAAGGATTCACGTCTGCAGATGCAACATGATACAACCTAGAACCAACTGGGGAAACTGCCTCAATGAGGAATTGTCTACACTGTACACTGAGTGGGCCTGTGGGTGTGTCTATGGGGAATTGTGTTAATGCAGCTAACTGATGTGGGAAGCCCAGCCCAGTGTGGGCAGCACCAATCCCTAGGCGGGGAATTCTGAACTGTGAGTGGAGAAGTAGAGCTGAGCACGAGTGAGTGAACATGCACACAACCCTTGTTCTGTATGATATCATATGGCCAAGTATCTCAGGCTCCTGTGACTTCCCCACAGTGATGAAATGTAGCCAAGTGAGCATGCATACATTCATATCTCTCTGAATGATATCATGTGACTTCCCCACAGTGATGGAATGGAGCCTGGAACTATGATCCAAGATAAATGTTCTCTACTAAGTTGCTTTTTGTTGGGGTATTTTATCACAGCAACAAAAATGGCATTAAAACAAACTGTAAATTGAAATATTTGAGTAAAAATTGCATCTGTATTAAAATACCTATACTTTTATTGTTGTGATTCTATAAATAATATAGAATAACAGTGTATAATGATCTTTATATTATATGAGGCATTTGAATAAATTCAGAGATGATTGACGCATACAAGAGGATTGCATAGACTCTAGGCAAACACAGTACCATTTTCCACAGGACACTCAGCATCTCCAGATTTGATTATCTGGGGGAAACCCCAAACAATCATAGGCTTGACTATAGATATTCAGTGATTGAGTGAATGTTGTCATAAGTGAATGGATGAAGAAATCGACATGAATTAGGTTTTCTGTGACTTGAGATAAGGGCTGCTGTTTTTCCTTGTCACCCCAGAGAAACTGGAGAGTGAGAAGCTCAACGTGGCAGAGGTTACCCAGTCAGAGATTGCCCAGAAGCAGAAGCTGCAGACTGTGCTGGAGAAGATCAATGAGACCCTGAAGCTTCCACCCAGGAGCATCAAGTGGAATGTAGACTGTGAGTTGTGCAGAGGAGGAGAGCTGTGAAACGACACAGTCCCCGATGTGTCCCCACCATTCCTGTCCATGCCAGTGTCCCTTTGTCTGGAAGGTTTTCTGTGGCAGCCTTGTGTGAGGTCAGCTCAGAAAGGAAATGATACATTCCTGGAGCCACTTCTGAGACCTATACAGCCTGCTGAGAGCACTGCTGCTGTCTCCAGCATGTAGAGACATTGGGATGCTGAGGCCACAGGTCCACACAGCTGAGAAGCCAAGAGTGAGGTTCAGTTCCATCCCAAACCCCACCCCCTGACACTTCCACTCTGTTTCTCAAAAGGAGCAAAGATACTGCTGAGGTCCAAAGCACTGAAAAAGGGTTTGTTTTGATATTTTATTTATTAGACTGTGGGTTGGTACAGTGGGAAGAGATGAGGGGGAAGGCTCATGCCTTGGTACAGATTGGGAGGTCAGCAGATGCCTTTGTGAAGTCAGTGCTCTCCTTCCACCCTCACATAGATTCATTTGCTTAATTGTGTCCACTCTGCTTGGTTTCTCCACTTAGTTCAGGACCCCTGCCTAGGGAATGACGCCTCCCACACTGGGTGGGGTCTCACAGCTACTCAGTCACTACGTGAGGCGGGGGATCTTTTTCTAAATTTGAAAAAAAAAATGTTTTTAACCTAAGTGGTGGATCCATTTTAAGTCCTATAAACAGGATGGGTAACCTCATTGGCTTCACATCAGTTAAGACAGTCCACTAGAAACCCTCACAGGCCAACCCAATGCAATCAATTAGTGTTTCATTGTGTCAAGTTGACAGTTAGTCACCAGGCTTTACAACAAGCACCTTTACATACTAAACCATCTTCCTGCCCCTTAGAACATGATTTTTTTTTAAGTTCCACCTTTGACTGCTAGTGTAGCTCAAAAATTTCAGAAAATATAAACCCTTTTTTTTTTTTTAAAGCTATGTATAGATGTTTTGCTTGATGCAGTACCCACAAATGCTAGAAGGAGATGTCAGATACCCTGGGCCTGGAGCTACAAATGGTTGTGAGCTGCCAAATGGTACTGAGAATTGAACCCAGGTCCTCTGGAAAAAAACAGCTAGTCCTCTTATCCTCTGAGCCATCTCTGCAGTTCCTAGACTATTCATTCATTTGCTGCCTCAAGAGTGTGCCTTGGCATCTAATATAAACTCTAACTCAGATTCAGCAGAAAGCCAGTGGGCCACCTGATACTAGCAATGACTGCCTATCCCCACTCAGAGAGTTTAATGATTTTTATCTTTGTAAAGAAACATACGCAGGTTTTTACAGTGCAAATGAAATAGTTACATGGTGTTTGGATCTAAGTATTAGGGACTTTGTTTTATTGCATCCCATTTATAGGACATAAAATGGATCCACCCCCCCAGAGGGTGTTATTTAATATTTTTTTTCAAACTTAGAAAAGAAAAAGAAATCCCTCATTCCCCACTGTAGTGACCTCGCAGCTGCCAGGGCATCTCCTCTCCTCGTTTCTGACATTGGAGCCAAAATGCCCAGAACCTCCTTCAGCATAATTATACCATTGCTGTCATAGAACAGTGTGATAAGCTGGGAACAGGGCATTCTCTGCTTAGCCAGAGTCACCTGAGGGTAGAGGACAGGGCCTGGCTCCAGGCCCCAGAAGCTGCCCTGCTAAGGAGCCCTATTTCCCTGTGCCCCTGGGAAATTAAATGATGTTCAGAAAAGGACACATGGGACTGGGGAGACGGCTCATTGGGTAAAGTGCTTGCCTTACAAGAATGAGGCCTTGGATTTGAGCCCCAGCACCCACATTAAAAAAAAAAAAAAAAAGTTAAAAAGCCCAGGGTAGTGCCACTTGCCTGTAATTACAGTGCTAATTTAAAAGAGACAAGAGGAGCAATGGGGGTTGCTGGCTAGCCCCAGCTAGTGAATAAGTGAACTCCAGGTTCAGTAGGAGACCTTGTCTCAAAAAACAGCGTGGAGCAATTGAAGAAGACACTGGCCACCTAATATTGACCTCTGACTTTACACATATGCAACATACTCATATAACATATGCACATATAACACACGCACATGCATACATATCAGTTGCTAATATCAGATGGCTTTAGTTGGATGTCTTTGCTGTCTGTTTACTTCTTGTGAATTACTCTTCCTGGCTGGATCTTCAGAATGGAGATGGATTAGTGGGTCAGAAGGGATAATTATCCTCTTGGCTGCTCCCTGTGATGCCTCCGGGCATCAAGAAGAGCTGGAGCTTGTTTACAAGAAGAAGCAGTGTGTTCTAGAAGGAACAGAGCAGGCACAATTCACAGGGAGAAGTCTCCCCTTTCTCTCTAATCAGCCCTGGCTGTGCATTTGGGGACACTATGTCGCCTTTATGTACAGGGCAAGGGTGGCAGGGACAGACTGCTGAGTTACCAAGGTCTTTGATCTAGGACTATAGAGATTTCTTTCTTTTCTGTTCACAAACAGAATTTTTTATTATTGAAAATTTAGAAAATGCCAGTGTATATAAACATTTAAATATTAATGTCTATTTTAATCCTTGCAATGCTCGCTCACTCACCTCAGGTAATTCTTTTCATCACCCTCATTTCATGGATGGGAAAATCAAGGCACAGAAGAATTATGAGGCTATGAACATCACCACCATCCCAGGGTCAGGGATTCTAGCTTTTTCCCTATGGCTAGTACACTTGATGCCCACTAATGTTTGCTGAAGGACCACCACTGTCCTGATTACAGATTGATGAATAATGGAGGCAGGAATCTGTTCCAGAGAGCCAGCTGCAGAGCCAGGCTGTACTGAGTCTGTACACACAGCCTCCATAAGCTGCCTATCCAGAGATGGGCCCTGAAATTTTTGGCATTATTACTGCAAGGTGTGCATATATGTGTGCATGTGTGTGTGTGCATGTGTGTGGTGTGTAATAAAGAATGAATAGAACATGCTTTTTATTTATTCACCCATGAATACACAGCTCTGCATTTATAGATAGTATCTCCCTGTATCCAAAGGGGGTGTCTTTCAACACTCCAGGGGATTACTGCACCATGGGTAGTTCCAGACATTACATGTGCATAGACACACATATGGAATAGCTTTTCCATCTTTTTTTACTTTACGTTAGCATACAAAGTACTGGGTTACACTCTGCCATTTTCATACCCATGTGTCACTATACTTTGTTCTAATCCATCCTCCTCTCCCAGCTTCTTGCCCTCTCTTGCTGATCTCATTCCTCATCCAAGATAGTTCCTTATTTTGTTTTCATGTCATATGTATCCCATTCCTTCTTTTCCCTCTGTCCTTTAAGATCTCTTTGTCTTCCTCTTCCTCTTCCTTCCCACACCTCCTCTTTTTCTTCCCCACCTCACATGTGAGCACACACATGAAGAAAAAGGAGAAGAAAGAAATAAAGAGAGAGAGAGAGAGAGAGAGAGAGAGAGAGAGAGAGAGAGGCATGGCTTATTTCACCATTAGATCTCCAGTTGCATCCATTTGCCTACAAATGCCATAGCTTCATTTTTCTTTATAGCTGAATTAGATTGTACCATTGTGCACATATACTATATCCATTCATCTGCTAATGGACATCTAGGCTGGTTCCATTTCCTGGCTATTGTAAGTAGTGTAGCAGCAAACATGGATGTGCAGGTATCTCTGTGGCATGTCAACTTGGAATTTTTTTGAGATGCGCCAGGAGCAATCTAGCTGGCACATACAGTAGTTCTATTTTTAGTTTTTTGACGAACCACCATGCTGATTCCTACAGTGGACCCACCAGTGTGAATGAGGGTTCCTCACTCCCTGTGTCCCCACTGGGATTTGTTGTTACTTGTTCTCCTGATGGTAGTCATTCTGACTGGGATGAGATGGAATCTCACAGTACTTTTAAATTGCCCTGATGGCTAAAGATATTGAACACCATTTCATATATATATTGACCATTCATATTTCTCTTGAGAAATGTCTATTCAGTACATTTGCCTATTTATTGATTGATGATTTAGGGGGTGGAATAATGTTTAATTTTTTTGAAAGTTCTTTATAGAAGCTACATATTGTAGATCTAGATAGTAGCTGGCAAAGACTTTCCCTCATTCTGTAGGCTGTTTCCAGAGCCATTTGGCTCTCTGTGGAAAGGCTTTGTCTTGCCTGTATGGAAGTCTTTTACTTAGTTCTTCTTCCAGCAGCTTCAACTGTTCAGGTCCCACATTGAGATCTTTGATCCATTTTAAATTGATTGCTACTCGGGGTGAGAGGTACAGCTCTAGTTCCATTCTTTTGCATGTTGATATCTGGTTTTCCCCAGCACCGTTTGTTAAAGAGGCTATAATTTTTTTCTCCAGTGTGTGTTTTTCTATACTTCCCTTAAAAAATCAGGTGGCTGTAGCCATGTGGGTTTATTTCCTGGTATTCTACTCCTATTGGTCTACAGGTTTGTTTTGTGCTCCTGCCATTACTGCCTTTTCCATGCAAATGGCACATTGATAATACACAATGTCCATCACTCCTGTGCTTTAAGGTATGACAACAAAACTAACATGAAGGGCTGGAGAGATGGCTCAGCAGTTAAGAGCCCTGGCTACTCTTTTAGGGGGGTAGGTTTAGTTCCCAACACCCACATGACATCTCACAACTATCTATAACTCCACTAATGGGAGATCTGATGCCCTTCTCTGATCTCTGTAGAATCGGCACACATGTGTTGCACAGACATGCATACTGGCAAAACATCCATGCACATGAAATAAATAAGTAAATAAATCTAATTGTAAAGAAACCTAGCATGATATTCTTTTTTTCATAATTATGTGGAGTATTCATATAATACTTACTGCAGATCTGGAATATCAGTACACAGGGTTTTTTGTATTATTGAAACCTGTCCCTTTTTACATAGTGGCAACTTCAACATATCTGCATTGCCAGCCTCACTGTCCTTGTGCCCTGGGGTCATCATTAAGTAAAATAACACAGTCACTGTAATACTGAGGCAGCCTGACACCTGATGTGGCCACCAGGTGACTAGCAGAGGAGTAGCATCCATGGTGTGGACACACTGGACAAGGAATAGTTCAAGTCTTGAGCAGGACAGAGTGACAGGGCTCAGGATTTCATCACACAACCCAGAATGACTTTCTATTCCTTTACACGTGCTGATGACAAGTACATGTTTGTACGCATGCATGTGTGTATATACACCTGTACACACCTGAATGTAGATGTGCATGGCTCGTGTTCTTGTCTGCTTCCTGTGGAATTTCCCTTTAGCATTGTTAATATTTTGGTGACATTGTCTTGACCATGATTTTCTGTGTGCAAAGGTTCTATTATGTGGCTGTATCATAACTTAGGAAGTCTGTGGTTGCTGCATATGCTTGGTCTAGCCTCAGGATTACAAGGAGAAACTTAGACACAGCTGGAAGAAAAGAAGCAGAAATGGGTGGGCTACAGTTAAGACTGGAAGGCCCTCATCATGGTCTCTCTCCCTCATGAGTTCTGCTGTTGGCTTTTAGAACATAGGGCTTCTCTGCTTATGAGGGAGAAAGAAGGCAGGAGTAAAAATAAAAAGCAACCTTCAAAGGCCAGTGAAATGACTCAGCGGGTAAAGACGTTTGCCACCAAACTTGACTACCTGAGTTCAATCCCCAGAACCCAACACATGGTAGAAGGTGATGGTCAACTCTCAAAAGTTGTCCTCCAATCTCCACATGCATGCCATGGCACATGTGTGCCCCCTCTGCAATTAATCAAGAAAAAAATTAAAATGAGTTTCAAAACAAAAAAAAACCCCAAATAATTAAAAAAAAATTCAGGAGGGCCAGGTTGGGCTACTACACAGAAAGCTCTGGACCCATCAGAACTTCATGGTAAAGAACTGCATGGTTTTGTTGTCTCTCAATGACAAAAACAAGTTTGGAAGCCCTAATCTGGCCATCCTTTTCCTCCTGGATGTGTTTCCCAGGGTTTTGCTTTTGATGATGATGTGTGACACAGACTGGCATCTTTGTCCACATTCTCTGTGTGGCTGTATAAGGTTATTTCTTTTGAGAAGAATTCCTTGGAGGACAGAATATTTGTTGAAAGGGTCTGACATCTGTCTAATGCCTTTGATATCACTTGCCAAGATGATGTGTAGTGACACCAGGCAGGACTTGACTGAACCTGAGCTTTTCCAACATCAAGTTTGTCATTAAAAGCAAGAGGGCCTCAAGTGTGCCTACAGTCCCCAGGATCCAAGCAAACCCTGATTTGACTCTATCCTTCAGTAACAGTGCCACATCAGTGGTCCAGTCCCAACCAGGAGGTATTTTGTAGGTTGTCACTGTAGGTCAGAGTCAATGGACACTGTTTTCCAGAACTGAATCTTCTGGAATACAGACCTGCTGCTTGGTATCACATTGAGCCACATTAGGAGATGCTGCCTGTGGAATAGCCATGATAAAGAACAGTGTCAATGGACTGTCTGAATCATTTCCTTTCTTGGTGGCTTCTCAAAGCACCTAAAGCAGATTTTCTTGATCCAGGGAAGACAAATGACACCCTGATAATGAGCCCAATTCTGGTGACATTGACATGTGCTACTCTGGATTTTCCCTTAAATGTCCCTGTAATGAAGAGCCATAACACTAGTAGGACCTCTGAGGCAGGCAAAGAGCCTGGCGGGTCTACCCTTTTATGAGACAGGAAGAGAAAGGGTTGGCATGCCCTGATTGCCTCCATGCCAGGTACTTTCTCACAGATTATAATGAAAAATACCAGTCATTCCTGGCCACCTGCAGTGTTCCAGGAGCTCTGTCTGCCCGTGTTATCTTTGGAAGTCTTTACAGTGTATATGTCCACCTGGGACCTGTCATCCTTGTTTGAGGAGATGACCAGCTTAAGGCTCAGTGGCCAGAGTGGCCCCTACCCAAGGCCATCATCAATAAACAGGTAGCAGGGAAACAAAGTCACCTTTGAGTTCTAATCTGCCTGACTGTGAGCCATGTAAGTCAGTCTTTAACCCATCTACTGAGAAAGCTACAACGAGGATAAATGGTTTAGTATAGGCAAAGGGCTTAGCACCTGTGGAAGATATTTGGGTTTTCTTGGGGACATGGACTACACCCACCTATCAGGCACAAGCAGCTAAGCTTTCTGAGTGGTTCCCATGCCTTTTTCTAGGGAGTTTGGCCCCAGAGTGGTTCCCATTCCTTCTAGGGAGGTTGGCCTTCAACAGAGGAAGACAGCCAGGGCTCCTGAGTTGGTGTCTCTTGATTAAAGAAAAGTTTGTGACCAGCCTTGAACAAGGGAATTGGTAACAATCAGTATTCCCTGTCAGGTGGGGAGGGAGTAGGTGCAGATGAGAACAGTGGCCTTGGCAAGGAGAACTGATCTGAGCTCCAGGCTCATTCATTGCCGAAGTCCTCAAGAGGAATCTCAAGCGACAGTAGAAATGCCATGTTGGGAAGCTACCAATCATAGTGTCCAAGAAAGAACCATGGGGCATGGCCATACATTAAGGGGGTTAGGGGTGGGGAGAACAGGTGATGAGTGAGGGAATTCCCTGATGCTTAGGGTGCAACAAGGCAACATTGAAGGGGGGCACTGCTGTAACCTCAGTAGATGCCTACCTTGCCTAGAATCTGAAGAAAGGCTCCATTTTCTAATCTTGTATTTCAGCTGTTCATGCCAAGAGCCTGGTTGCCATCCTCCACCTGTTGGTCGCTCTGTCTCAGTATTTCCGGGCACCAATCCGACTCCCAGACCATGTTTCTATCCAAGTGGTTGTGGTCCAGGTAAGAGGAACGCTACCCTACTTACATGTATCCTTAAGTCACAGATGCTGAGCTCTGCAACAGTCAAAGCATATTGAATAGATGCTTAGAAGGCAGCTGCTGGAGACTAAGTAGACTTGGTTGTGCTATGTGTTGGGAGACATCAGCACCTGTTGCCTTATGCGTGGTAAGCATGCAAAGAATAAGTGTGTGCTTGTGTGCAGTGTAGTTTTGTATGGGCTTTACATTTTTCTGCTGGGAGAATCTCTGTACAACATATAACTGAAGGTATATAGTATATACGTTTGCATAGCTGAAGGTGTACAGTGTATATGTTTGTGAGATATACAGACTTGAAGAGGAAAAAAGATGTTTGTATGTATCATGCATATTCCCTGGGTAAGTGTTATGCATGTGTTGTGTGTGAAGGAATGCATATTCAACAATGTGTATGTGTATGTGTACGTGAGAGGAGTGTATATTCAAGCATATGTGTGTGCATGTGAGGAGTGTGTTCAAGCTTGTGTGTGTGTGTGTGTACATGAGGAATGTGTGTTTAAATGTTTGTGTGCCTGTGAGTAGTGTGTGTTCAAATGTATGTATGTGCATGTGCGAAGTGTGTTCAACCATGTGTGTGTTCAAGGGTGTGTGTGTGAGTGAGAGTATGTGTGTATGTTCAATTGTGTGTACAGAAATATGTGTGTGTGTGTGTGTTCATTTGTGTGTACAGGTGTGTGTGTGTGTGTGTGTGTGTGTTTATTTGTGTGTATAGGAATGTGTGTGTGTGTGTGTGTGTGTTCAAGTGTGTGTACAGGAACGTGTGTGTGTGTGTGTGTGTGTGTGTGTGTGTGTGTGTGTGTGGAATTGTGTGTGTGTGTGTGTGTGTGTGTGTGTGTGTGTGTGTGTGTGTATTCAAGCATAGGGGGTAAAAGTATGTGTAAGTTTGTGTGTAGGGAGGAAGTGTTGTATGTTCAAGGGTGTGTGGGTGTGTGCCTGAGCACACATGTTTGTTCATGCCCCTTGCTGCTGCTTCTCAGTCCCCAAGCAAAGCCCATCTGGGACCTCAAGCCATCTCATCCAGACTGTTGGATGGAGTTTCCATTCACATATGGTTGTGTAATTTCCACAATGAGGGTGCAATCTCTCTCCCCATGGCTAGCTCACTCTGCTCCTAACCCCATTAAATACTCAAATGCAATTTTATTTTCCAACTTTGTGCCCACTTAGCAAAAGGTCATCATTGTGTTTGCTTGTCTCTGGGTTGGTTTTTTGTTTTGTTCTGTTTTGTTTCCAAATAAATATGCAGTAAGAGGGTGTGCTCTGCATGCACACACACCCCCTAAGTATCCAGGGCCATCCAGGGTTCTGCAATAGACAACAGGAGGCAGCTCTGCCATCAGTCAGTAAGAGAAAGCTTTGGAGATGGTTAACTGTGCCAGATCGGGTCAGGCCTGTTCACAAGACAAAAGGGCTTTGAGTTTTCAGGTCAGATGGTAACTAGAGGGGAGCATTTAACAATTGCGCTCCTAAGCAACAGATCACTCCTGCCCTAATGAGAAAGTCTCTCTTCCACACCTCCTGGCACTCAACTCTGCAAAGCATCATAAAGATACAATAGGAATAGGGTGCACTGGCACTGCCTTCAAAGAGACAAGACAACACAGAGGGGACAGAGGGTGGTTCTTGACAGGACCCTTAAGTATGGCTGATAGACAGGTACTCAGAATCCTTGTCATTGAGCTCTTTGCCTTTATTGCCTTTGTGACCAGTATTTTGTGGCCAGCCCAGAGCATCCTGGAACAGCTGTCTTCCTAAAGAATCCAGACCATCTCCACTTGTTATTCTTACCAGCCAGTCACACACAAGTCCATCTTGTGTTTTGAAATGCTGCCACAGGAAAGGGAGGGATGGAGGACGGAGGATTTTGAAGTTGGTTGAACTGCTTTGGGATATGCAGCCTAAAGCCGTAGAAAGCTGGATACCAACAGCAGACCCTGATAATAACTGACCTCTCAGGGCAGCTCAGGCAATCGACTCAGTTGTGAACGGTGTACCCATCTGCCACAGGGTGCCAATGGTGGACAAGACTATAGCGGGTGCTGGGGTGGGGAAACAAGGGAGATTCCTAGCCCCTCTTCTCCATTTTGCTCTGAACCTAAAACTCTCCAACAAAGGTAAAGACAAAGAAAACAAAACAACAACAAAAGAAAAACCTGACCCCTACCGTTAATTCAAGAGTGCTTTGGTGGTTAGCTAGCACAGGCGCTGGGAAGTCCTTAATTATTTTACAACTGTACATACAGTCATTCAGTTCATGAATGGCTCTTCTGTTGCTAGGAGAGAGAGAGAGAGAGAGAGAGAGAGAGAGAGAGATTTCTAGGTAAGGTGGCCTTTCACATCTTCTGTGACCACTGTGCCTTCTAGTTTTGTTCATTTATTGAATATTTTACTTGTTTTTCTGACCAGGTATATGGCAGTTCTTTAATAGAAATATCAAAACTTACCTGTTGCTTAACTACGGGCAAAAAGGGGGGAAAGAAAGATTTGAGCAGCAGAGTCAGTGGGAGACTGCTATTTTGAAACAGTGGTCCATGCTCTCATCTCAGACCTTGTTTTGAGCTCAATTATCAGCCATCAAAGGCAGTTATTGGTTTAATTCTGCAGGGACTTTTGTTAGGATGAGAACACAGAAAAAGGGTATGGTGTGTGTGTGTGTGTGTGTGTGTGTGTGTGTGTGTGTGTGTGTGTTTGTGTTAAGGTTTACAGGGTGATTAGTTTAATCAAGAAAACAAGCTCAGAAGCAGGACCCAGAACTGACGAGAAATACCTCGTGTGATAGTGCACGACTGTACCAGCACCTGGGAGGCTGAGGCAGGAGGATTGCTGTGAGTTTGAGGCTAGTCTAGACTATGTAATAAATTCCAGGTCAGCCTGGGCAACAGTGGGCCCTTTTCTGTTTTTGTTTTTGAGACAGGGTTTCAAAAACCTGTATAGCCCTGGCTTTCCTGGACTTCACTTTGTAGACCAAATTTGTTTTTGAGACAGGGTTTCAAAAACCTGTATAGCCCTGGCTTTCCTGGACCTCACTTTGTAGACCAAACTGACCTTGAACTCACAGAGATCTGTCTGCCTCTGCCTCTGCCTCCCAAGTGCTGGGATTAAAAGCATGCACCACCACCCCCTGACCCTGTTTTAAAACAAAAACAATAATGAAAACAAACCTTACAGAAGTAAGCTACTAAGCTGTGGGGAGTCTCCCAAGGGATAGTTAGGGGACTGTGGAGGAGGGCTCCTCCCTAACACCCACTCCCTTCCCTTCCATAGAAAAGTGTTTTTTTACATATGAACTGGGAAGTGAGTTTCTGTCTAGTGGTGGCCTCCCAAGACTAGGTTTCTCTGAGGCCCAAGTGGAAATTGAGCATGCTTCACATGGAATTTTGAACAAATCCTGATTTCTCCTCCCCTGGTACCTTCCCACATTCATTTCCTAAACTACTTCTTCCACCTTCATTGTCCCCTCCTGTTCTAATGCAGAGACTCTTGACTCTTTCCAGTTTGCCTTTCCCTCTATGAAAGGGTTCTGTGGCTATTGAAAACACAATGGGATGTTTCTGAATGTTTGGGGAGACTCCAGAAGGCATGTTTCAGATGATCCTCCTAAACTCAGAGGTCCCTTGTTTGTTTGATGGGGGAAGAGGTGGATTGAGACAAGGTTTTACGATGTAGCCCAGGCTGGACCCAGACTCAGTCCTCCTACCTTAGCCTCCAGCATGATGGAACTAGATGTGTGTGCCACCACACCCTGGCTCAGAGGCCCCTTCTTAGCATTAGTTTGGGCTTTGGGACAGTGACTTTGCTCTGCCATTCTTTTATGGTGCCCAGACTGCGCTGCAAGGGTCTGCTGCTGGCTGCAGAGGGACCTGGTAGAGTGAGTCTTTCTCCTGGCATCTGTCAGAAGGTAGGTCGTAGGGAACTCTTGTGCTCCTTCATTGGCCCCATGCTCAACTCAGCTAGTCACACTCCAGGGGAGCTGCTCAGGAACTAATGGCAGCCACCTCCCCCTAGAGTGGCATCTCCCCAACGTTCCCTCTTCTTGGAAAGTATCTCTGACCACCGACCTGGAAGTCCACATAGTACTAAAGCCAATCTGGGCTGTCTTTGAACAGAACAGAGGGAAAAGAGGAGGAGGAGGAAGAGGAGGAAGAGGAGGAGGAGGAGGAAGAGGAGGAAGAGGAGGAGGAGGAGGAAGAGGAGGAAATTGGCTGGACAAGGCTCAAAGTGGTTGCTTTTCCTAGAGGTAGCCAGTTACCTAAGTAGCACGTGATGCCCCTCACTCACAGTCCCCATGCCAGCACCAAGTGGAGCCTACTGGAGCTAGAAGGACCACCTTCAACTCAGAATGTCACCCTTCAACTCAGTACAACTGTGCCAGTGAGTCGTCACTCCGTAGATTAGTGCTTTTCTCCGCCTTCGTTCTAGAAGCTTCTTTCTGCGGAGGAACAGCACTCAATGCAGACTCATATTGTGCTGAGAATAGGTGACTGTTGAGTGCTCAGCCCTAACTGAGATGCCCACACCAATCCCCTCAAGGCCCAAAGAAAATCACCAAAGAGCAGACAAAAAGAATCCAAGTGCCAGCTGTGCGGTGGTGTCACATGCCTTTAATCCCAGAACTCAGGAGGCAGAGGCAGGCAGATCTTTCTGTGAGTTTGAGTCCAGCCTGGTCTACAGAGCTAGTTCCAGGACAGGCTCCAAAAGCTACACAGAGAAACCCTGCCTCAAAAAAAAAAAAAGGATCAAAGGGCCAGAGGATGAGGATGAGGATGAATGCCGTGAAATGCTGGCTCCTGAATGTGACATGGCCATTGCACTCATGAACTCTCTTGGAAGCTGTGTTTGCTTGCATAAGACCAAGCCAGTCAGAAAGCTTGAATGGGGCATGGGGCTCATAAGGCTCCATCCTTCACTATGAAGGCACTGACCACTGGTAACTGCTAAGAGAAGGGTCTCGTGGCCTCTGGTAGGTTTCCCTTGTTCCCAAGGATGGCCCCACACCCATGTGTGTGCAGGCAATAGTAATGGGTTCAGTGGGATGTACACATAGACATGAAGCTGGGAGTGGGAATCATTGAAAGGATCCAAGAGGATTGAGCAGGGGGTAGATAGGATCAAGACATTGTATACATGCATGAAATTATCAAAGAATAAGTTTAAAATATTCAGAAAATTAAAAGAGCTCCATGGTTATTGGGTAAAAAGCAAAACAAAGCAAAAGTCCCCTTTGCCTCTGTCTGAATTCTCCAAGCTGCCCTGAACACCTCCATCCAGCCCCACAGCTCTGCTGTACACAGTGGCCTCCCTGCGGGGGCCCCAGCTAAAGGCAGACACACCCAGCCATCATTTCCATTGGGCTTGCTGTGCCTCGCTGCCTGAGGCAAACAGCTGGCTTCCAACAGAAATCTTCAATAAAGAAAGGCAGGCTTTGCCGTCCAGGAATCGGCCTACTTGTTTGGACTAATCACCAGTTGCACTCTGTCATGATGATGCAGCCAGGTGCCCTCAGATCACTGCATTACTGCTTCTCAAATCTTCTCATCTCTTGACCCTCTTATAAAAACACCGATAACCTTCTCTATGTCGGGAACACCAACCAATGTTTCTGTGTTGCTAAAGCCTGTTCTGTTCTCTTCTCTCTTCTATTCCAGAAACGAGAAGGGATCCTCCAGTCTCGACAAATCCAAGAGGAAATAACTGGTAACACAGAGTATGTCAACACCATTGTTGCCAGCGAGTTTGTAATGGAACACAGATGTTTCTCTGAAATTCACCCATTTGCTGATATTTAGTTTTCATTTATTGGGATTGCAGGAGGGATTAAGCTGCAGCCGATGATTATAGCTTAGCCTTTTCCTTGCATTCAAAACATGCCTCTTGCTGCTTAAGGTACAGCCTTGGGTGGGGAAACTGGGAGAGGGGAATTAGCCATGATTGAAAATTCTAATTTTGTGGCACTCCAGGAAAAAAAGCATACCCCCCAAAAAGCTAACCAGCATGAAATCGTCATGTGGTAAACACGGGGCTGAACTGAATTGTTAATCTTCAAAAGGATGCCGTTTTTTCTTCCTTCTTAAGTCTGATTTATTTGGTCACGTGCCATGACCCAGAAAGTCCTCTCTACCTTACAGATGTCTTTTTGGTTTGGTTTGGTTATCCTATTTATTTTTAGAAATTTGAAGATAAGGAAGTATAAAATGTTTTCCATGAGAGCGGGGAGAAGGTTCAGTTGGCAAAGTGAGGACCATACAATCACGTATGAGGACCTCAGTTCAGATCCCCAGTGCCTGTGTAAAAAGCCAGGCATAGCTGGGTGTACTTGTTATCCCGGCACTGGGGATGTAGAGATAGGAGGCTCCAGGACCCACTGGCCTGTCAGCCCAGCCAAATCAGCAGCTCCAGGTTCAGTGACAGACCCTGTCTCAAAACTAAAGTGGTATACACTGGATATTGGCTTTGGTCTCCATTCATGTACTCTTTAACCATGATTGACAGGAGTCAAATCTCTGCCTATCATGACCATAATGCAAGTGATTTTAAAAAGGCCTGGGAGTGGGTAGAAGTAGAGAGTGACCCTTCCCAGGATGCCTGCTATATGACCTGTAGTGACCACCCCCATCATGAAAACTCCCCATCATTCCCAGGGCCCATCCTAGTCACCAATAGTTATGTGACTTGTAGGATACCAAATGACTTTGGCATGGTTTTGAGGACTAAGAGGAAAACCATCTCAGGTCCAGCTTCACTGTCTTCCCTGGATCTCCCATCCCATGAGGGCTGCTCTGTTTCATCTTCTGGAAGAGAACAGACCAGAGAGGAGAGTGGCCTGGGAGAAACTGCTGCCTCTGTGGGGATGGGAAGGAGAGGTTTAAGATTCTGAAACATTCTTTTAATTTGTGTGCTATGCTTTCTATGGCCCCTTTCTCTGCCACAAAAATATAAGCATGGTGAAGCCCTCATAACAACAGCCCAGTACAGTTCGTGCAGCTCTTTTCTATATACTGGTGCAGCAGAGGCTGCCCCCCACCCCTGGGCAATGTAGGGGAACTGCAGGATCTAGCTGGCATTCCAGCTTCACCATTCTGTGTATACAAACCACATGTAGATGGTCATTTACTGAATATTAGGTATGCAAATGAATGAAGCATATCCTAAAATTCTTAAGAACCAGAATTGTACTGAGAAAAGAATGGGGGCCAGTGAGATAGCTCAGCAGGTAAAGGTGCTTGCTCCCAAGCCTTGGGACCCACGTGATAGAAGGAAAGAACCAATTCCTGAAAGTTGTCCTCTGACTTACACACACACACACACACACACACACACACACACACACACAGTGTGATAATTTTTTGTAGTTTTCTGGACATTTACTGTGCACTAGAAACTCCAATACAGTCTTCCTAGATGCTGAATGCTTAGAGTACCTGTTATTTTTACTTTAGAAATTAAGAGATCCAGAGACCAGAGAGGTTCTAGAGCTTTCCTGGAGTCACAGAGCATCTACAAAGATTGGAAGAAAGGACCTCATTAAAACTTAGTCTAAGACAGTGTGGCCTGTCACCTGTCTCTGGTGCTTATTCTCTTAGAACATGACTGTCTCTGCCTGTGAGTGAGGTTCCAGTCCCTGCCCTCTCAGAGACACTGTCCTGGAGCAATGACAGGTGTCACTTGGAGGCAACACAGGAGCAAGACAAAGCCGACTTCCTGGCAGTCAGCCAGGGAACCCAGACATTGAAACCCCATCTTCTTCAGCCTCTGCTCCTCATGTAGCCCAAGCAAGCCCCAAACTCAAACCTAACTCTATAATGGATTTTTGTTTTCTCTTTTTCTTCCAGGGCCCTTTCTGGAAGACATGGTGAGTGTTGTGTGCTTCTCCAGCTCTGGTGGCCTTATTGAAGCTAGATAGTACTATCATCTGATGTATCTGCCCCAGCTTGGGGACACATTGGCCAGGTTGGGAGGGACAGCTTAGTGACATAAAGAACACTTATTCATCAACACAGATATGGCCCCAGTGGGGAAGACTTACCCTGTACCTGGCATGGAAATTTAGGAAGAGATGTTTGAATGCACTTGGGAGCTAGTCCCCGGCCTCACTCACTCTTAGTCCCCATCATGACTCCCCTCTCCCAGAACTTCAGTCTTGTTTATAGAATCTTCAAGGGTCGGAGATATATCACACAACACACACACACACACACACACACACACACACACACACACCACTTCCTAGCAGTCTTAGCTTTGCCCATCAGTGCCAAGTGGAAAAGGCTGACCTTGGGTCACAGACCCTCCCCATCCCAGCTTGCTTCTGGAAACTTCTAGGTCACCTCTGGTTCTGAGAATCTGGCACCACAGCAAGAAGTATCCCTGCCAGGAGCATGGCTTAGCTATGTTCTATCAGCCTGATTCATGGTGATCTCATGAAATGTTTTGATTATACTAAAAACTAGCCCCAGGGAAGGCTTATCTTTCAGATGATGTTTAATAGAAGGGGAAACTGAGGCTCAGAGGGGTTAGCAGATGTGGAGTGCCCCAGAAAGAGACCCTTGTTCTATCTTGGAAGGTACTGGTCTCTTGTGCCCTCACCTCTGCCCCTACCAGGATAATTTTTCTGAAAATTAGCCAGAACAATTTGCTAGTTGGGTAACAAATGACCAGAGGATGTCAGAAACACTTTAGAACTGTGACTACATTGGGATATGTGGGATAGAAGTGAAGAGAAAGGACCAAGCCCGGGTCAGTCTGCTTAGAAATGTGTTACCTGGCGGACACACACAGACGGTGACATTGGGATAAGAATCGAGCACAGATTCCCTATGGTAGCTGACCACATGGCTCCCAGCAGCCCTACTTTACACTGCATGGTGTGCGTTTCCCTGTTTCAGAACGTGACGCCTTTGACACGCTGTTTGACCATGCTCCAGACAAGCTCAACGTGGTAAAGAAGGTAGGCCTATGGTATCTGGGGGCAGCAAGGGCTAGGACCCCACAGGGCATGAAGAAATCTCAGCTTGTACCAGGGATATCCTGTGCATCTCTTCCCTCTCTTGGTCGCTGGTTAGTCATCCAGGGCCCTTCTGCTCCCAGCAGGATGCTTACCCTGTCTTCCCATTCACACTGACTCCAGCATTCTCTGCTCCTCACTCAGAATTCTTCAACTCCCTGGGCACAGGAGATGGTACCAAAGCAGGAATCAACAAGAGGGACCCAGAGGGTCATTTTGTCTCTTGCTGTCTTCTTAATTCCCCTGCTGCCCACCCTGACCCCCAACCAGATATCCACCTATCCTCCTGTCTCTCAGGGGTCCCCTGTCCCTTACAGCCTGTGGGCTACCTAACCAAGAGCCTCTTCCCTGGCCCCAGGGCCCTTTGACACATGAAAGCCTCCATCTCAGTGCCTTTTTGTTTCTCTTTTAGACTCTCATCACATTTGTGAACAAGCACCTGAATAAACTAAACTTGGAGGTCACAGAACTGGAGACACAGGTGAGTGCCAGTTCCAGGGACCCAAAGCTTTCCAGGGAGAGGGATGGGATGTGAGATGTGAGCTGCTCAGAGAGGTGAACCAGATAGGATATTTTCCCCAGCTGTTTTTAGAAAAGTTGCAATAAAGAATTCTGTCTAGTTTACACATGACACACAACATGTGGCCAAGCTCATTCTCTCTCTACCTCTGAATGGCTCCCTCGTTTCTCTTCAGAACAAGTGCACTGGCCTGGGTCACCACTGTCCAGTGATTAGATCACCACTGTCCACTGATTGGATGCAGATGCTGGCAGTTTTAGCATTAGTGTTCTGTTTTCATCTGTTTAGAGGGGGATCATGAAGTGATGGTGTGGAGCAATAAGATGGGCCTGTCACATGATAAAAGGACAGTCATCCTGCTTTCCCCTGCCCCGTGTTGTCTGTCCCATCCCCTCAGTCCCTTTTTAACACAGCCTTTAACACTCATCCTTTCTTGGAATGACATCAGTAGAGTTTGTCATTGTTTTATTCTTTGATAATTTCATTTGTGTATATAATATATTTAGGTCATATCTACCCTACTCCCCCTTCCCAGCTCCTCCCAGACACTCCCACCCTTCTTCTAACTTTATGTCCTCCTCTTTTTTAAAAAATAACCTACTGAGTACAATCAGAGCTGCCCATATGCACAAGGGTGTAGGACCATCCACTGGATCAGAAGTAGTCTATCAAGGAATCACACCTCTGAAGAAAACTGACTCTTCTCCCACCAGCAGCCATCAACTTCCAATAGCTCCTCAGCTACTTCTGGGGCATTCTGAGCCCCTCTTCCATTCAGGCTGGCATTGGTGATTTTGAAAAAGACCCAAGCAAATGGTTTGTAGGCCTTACAGGCTGCTCACTGTCCACCCCAGCACTCCCTAGGAGACACTCTCTGGCATTTGTCTTATTAGTCCCACTATGGTGGTAAAATAGGTCACCAGGGTAGTGTCTACTGGACTCTGACTAGAACCTGCTATGTCATTTTCTACCTTAGTACTTAATAACTAATCTGTAATTTGGCACTCTGGGCCTCTCATTTTGAGTGAACTGCTGCTGACTGATGTTCAGTGAGTGTAAGCAATTCCTGTCGTCTATAGAGCCCACTCCAGTCTTCACTGAGCTCTCTTGCTGTGTGTCTGAACTCTGGGACAATCTGGAGCATTCTAGAAAAGCAGCTAGAATGCTCTCTGGAACTTCCCCCTTGACTTGGGGCCAGGGCTGCTATGCCAGAGGGTGCTGCTTAGCACTCTGACATCTGTCCACAGGTCCCACCCAACAGGACAATCCCAGCAGACAGGGAGCCACCACCTGGCTGTCCCTCTGGGCAGAATCATCCTAACCCTATTGGCTCACAGATTGGTTGCCTCCCACCTCAGCCTACTCCAACCACAGCCAGACCCAGACCTGATTGCTTTAACTGCACTGTAGAGAGCTCTCGTCTCCACACAGATCCTGAGCTCTGCTCTCCAGGACCCACACAGGTGGCATGGGATACCATGCACAGGCCTCACCAGCATGAGCTGACCCAGGAGAGTATGGAGGAGCTCCAATTCTTCCTGGGCTCTGTGTGTCATTTGCATCACCCTAGGAAGCTTCATGAAGATGCTCCAGACCCAGACACTAGCAACCTAGTCCTTTTCATTCTCCTAATAGGATGACTGCAAACCCTAGCATCTGTGGTCTACAGATGTGTAGTGGCCCATCATCCTCTGCAGGTGCTAGGATAACAGATCAGCATCTGACTGTGACCTATCTGTTCACCTTAATACTGAGTCCCTAAAATGTACTCACCCCCAGACCACCACTTTCCTGATCACCCAGGATACACAGCTCACCGCCCTAGAACAAACCACCCTGTACTTAGCCCAAGAGTCTGGTGCTTTGACCCAGTTTCCCAACCCCAGTAGCTTTACTTCCCTGGAAGGAACCAGGTCTCAAGCTCCTTTCCATGATCCTTAATAGAGTTCTGTTTGGTCAGCAAGAATCCCAATCGCTTTGTCATTTTCCAGAGAGCAAAATAATTCTTAATAAGTGCTGCCTACATACCAAGCAGGTCCCAGGGGCTTTATACACATTATATATAGTTTTCATGCTAGTCCAATGGAACAGCCACCACACAGCTGCACCCCCATTTTGCAGGTAAGAAAAATGAGGTGCAGAGACAGTCCAGGTCCCACAGCTAGCAAGTAGGACTAGACTCAGAATCTGTGATTCTAACAGCTGCACTGGTCTGCATCTGAAATCCCAAAGAAGGGACATGCAAGCAAGAGGCCAGGCCCAGTTGATGCCACCATGTTCTCTTTTCCAAAAGCAAAAGGACTGGGGACCTTCATGTCACTGTCCTTGCCCATCATCTATCTTTCCTCCTGACACCTCCATACAGTGGTGTTCCAATTTTCTTAACCTATAAAGTGGGAGTACAACAGTTTGGTGGGCTATCCCACAGGATTAACTGAGGAGTAAGCCAGGTAACACACAAGGTAACTGCCACACTGCCCTCTCCAGTGGAGCTCCCCACTCCAGCCTCTGGCCCTCGCCAACAACCTGCCTATTGAGGTGGCCTTGGGTAGATTGGTTCCAGGGAGATGAAGGAGGCTCGTGCTGACACCTGGCTCTCCCTGCAGTTTGCAGATGGGGTCTACCTGGTGCTGCTCATGGGGCTCCTAGAGGGCTACTTTGTACCCCTGCACAGCTTCTTCCTGACCCCGGACAGCTTTGAACAGAAGGTAAGGGTTCGTGGCCTTGGGGAAGCCCATAGCCTTAGTCCTACTTCTCTCTACTGGGCTTGTCTAGGAAGAGACAGGCTTTTGTTGTTTGAAGATGGAGCCTCTTTAATAACAGTTGGGCTCCAGGCATGCTGAACACTGTTCCTTGCCTTTTGTCTGTCCCTGCTTCCCTAGCCATGTGCTCCTGTGGATACACAACCAGCCTTGTCTCTATCAGAGGTGACAGCAAAGGTAGCTCTAGGGCTAGTTAGCCCTGAGGCCCATGGCCAGACTGGTTCTTTTTTATAATGTGTATGTGTGTGTCAGTGTCTGTGTACACATGTGTGTTTAGGTGTTGTGGAGCCCAGAAAAGGGCGTTGGACCTCCTGGAGCTGACATTTGTGAGCCACATGGGTGCTAAGAACAAAACTCGGGCCCTCTAACTGCTGAGCCATCTTTCCAACCTCTGATTCTTTTCTGTTTTGGTGGAGGAAAGGGGAGCATTTGAGACAAAGGTACTGTAGCCCAGACTGGCCTGGAACTTACATTTAGTGAAAACTGGCCTCAAACTTACAGTAGTACAGTAGTGCATGCATGCACACATGTGTGCCTGCATACTACTAGAAATTGAGCTGAGGTATGTCTCCAGCCCTTTTGTAAACAACTGGGTGGTTTGGTTTGGGTTTGGCCTATCCTGGTTCTGCAGTACCAGGGCAGCCATTATCCTACCTGACTAAACAAAAGGCATTTGGCCCAAGGCAGAGGTCCCCTTGAACATGCTTTGCCATCTGACTCTAGCAAATGTATGCACTGTTATCCTTGAGTTTGAAGGCTTTGTCAATTGGTGTGGGAATGGGATGGGCCAGAAAGAGCCCCTATGGCAGTCACTAAGATCAGTATAAGAGGCCACTCTCAGCATAACCAGCCCACTTCTCTAGCCACAGATAGGCTCAGCCTCAGTCCCACAACTATGATGCAAGGCACCTAAGCTTCCCAGGGACTGGTCCTAGGGTCCTGGAATCCTAGGATCCTGGGGTCTTTGGGTTCTAGGGACCAGGAGGTATGCAATGATATATCCACTGCATCTGTCTTGCCAGGTCCTGAATGTCTCCTTTGCCTTTGAGCTCATGCAAGATGGAGGGCTAGAAAAGCCTAAACCCCGGCCAGAAGGTACTTTGCCCTTCCCTGGATCTGTGACAGTGGGGTGGGACCTTCATTTATGGGGTCTGTCTGGGTGACATAGGTTCTAAAACCAAGGACACTTTGGGTCCCTTATATAAGATGACTTGGTATGTACATAGAATCCAGGCACTCCCCCATGTGCATTCAGCCACCTGTACGCAATTAATTACATCTATTACTATGTAAGTGTTATGGAAAGAGTTGTTATGGGACTTTGTTGAGGAAATAATGACAAAGGGGAAATTTGACCTGTTCAGTATAAATGCAGTGTCTGTCTGTCTGTTTCTCTCTCTCTCTCTCTCTCTCTCTCTCTCTCTCTCTCTCTGTGTGTGTGTGTGTGTGTGTGTGTGTGTGTGTGTGTGTGTGTACCCATATACACACAAAGGACAGAGAAGGACATTGAAGGTCTTCCTCTATCACTTTCCACATTATTCCTTTGAGGCAGGTTCTCTCCCTGACCTGGGAGCCTTTGAGTTTGTTTTATTCTATTTTTACCAGCTAGGCTGGCAGCCAGCAATCCACAGCAATCCCCCCACTCTCAGATTTCTGGGGATATGAACTCAGGTCCTCATAACCACTAAGCCATCTCTCCAGCCCCGAAAACTTACTAACAATATTTTCTGCATACTGTTGTATGAATTTATACACGTGGAGCCCATGGATACAGAAGGTTGACTGTGTGAGATCAGGAGAAAACAAAACCAGAAGAGAATGATTGGGCACACCTGGAGTGCTTATGCTTGGCTGTATGTGTGCATTGAGAGTGGGAGGCATGTCACTGTTGTCATTGTCCTGGTTCACACTCTTGTGTTACTCACATGTAATCAGTACCAACAGTACCATGTTGACATTGGGCTGCAGATAATGTTTGTCAAGTTGGAACTCCTAGAAGAGCCTTGTGCTTGCACCTTCCTGGACACTAAATGGCATGGGGACAAGCAAAGGTTGTGGCTCCTACATCGTGTTGCTTTGTTACCTCCCATCCGAGATCTGCCTTCCAGACCCTGCACCCACAAGGCTGGCACTTGTCTAGCCGGCCTGGAACCCTGCGCATCATCGTGCACATTAAAGTTAAGATCACCCTTCACTCAAGGCTCCTGCCACCAATCAAGGAAGGAAAGCATCACTAGCTGCACACATAGCATGAAAGTGGTTGAGATAGAGTACAGCAGGAGGCTGTGTAGATGCAGGAGGGTTGGTCCCTTTTCTATCTGTGTGTAGTAAGGAACAGTGTGATGAACCCAAGGACAGTCAGAATACAGCAGAAAGACTGGCAAGAACCATGACCAACATCAGGATGAAGGAATGAGCCACAGGCCCCACCAGGGATAGGGACCCTAGTTTGTGATACCTGCAGTCCTGAATACTATCAGCTCCAGTGCACAAAGCTGAATGTTTTATTCCCTTTCATTTCCACTGTGTCTCATGTCCATCATTACCTCTAGGGGAGGATCTTTGGAGTGAAGATGCTCTCAGGAGCACTCTCCCTGGTAAGACAAGATTGTCTATTCCAATGTCCCTATGGATGAGCTCTAGCATCCTGCAGCAGCCCCAGCACCTGACTTGGAGAGCACCAGCTTCGCTTTCTTATATTTTGGGTTGTGAGCCTAGCCTTTAATGGCTGAGCCATCTCTCTAGCCCCAGCTTCATTTTCTGTGGTTGGCTCCTTGAATTGCTTCATGGAAACTTCCAACCTGCAGGCCGGAGAGACTTATCCTGATATGTTGGTGTTTGGATCTTTGTTTCCCTTTAGACAGAGAGAATTTTCTCAGTGTCGATCTATAAGACTGTTTTGGTGTATAGAGAGGTTTCGAATGTGATTATTGACCCACTTAATCTGAGACTTCCCGAGCAATGGCAGTGGAAAAACACATGTATCTTATTTGTTGTCACCCTGGGCATCATGCCCATGCGGAAAATTTCCAGTGCGTAAAGGGGGGCTAAAGTAGTGCTCTGTGGAGCTGGACTCTGTGAGCAGCAGATCCCAGCATTCCCTCTGGCTTCTGTGCTTCTACCTGGAAGATGTGACATGGCAAACATTGTAAAGAATTCTTTGACGATGTCTCCAGATCAAAATACCATGATGGAGGCTTTTCCCCTGGCAAGATTCTGAGGTCAGGGGTCCACAGAGCTCTATAACCCTCATGTTACATCTCAGACTTCTGCCACCTGGGCTTCAGAGCCTCTCAGTGCTCTGACAGGCTTAAACTGAGGGTGAGCTTCACATCCACAGTGGAGGGGCTAAAATACCGGGTGAGGAACCCTGTAACCTGAGAGGCTGAAGTAGGAGGATTGTAGGCTCAAGGCCTGTCTGAGATTTAGAGAATGATTCCAGGCCAGCCTAGGTTACCTAGCAAATTCATGGTCACTCTGGGCAATTTAGTGAGACACTGTCTCAAACTAACATGTAAAATGAAGGCTGGGGATGTGCCTCAGTGGTAGATCACTTGTATAGGACGTCAGTTTAATACCCAGTATGGTGAGTGAAGAAGGGAGGGGAAATGAGGAGAGAAAGGGAGGGGAGAGGAGGAAAATCGAGGCGGAGAAATGAGAAAAGGGAATATTGGTGTAAGGCTGGTTGGTGGCTTGTTATTGAGGGGTATGTGTCTTCAAATGAACATGCTTTACTGTTCCCGCTATTCAAGTGGACTCATCATTAAAATGGTCAAGATCCCAGAGTGCCAGGCAGGCTGGGATTCAGAAGCCCAATGCAGTCAGAATCAAACTGTGGACAGCTAGCAGATGGGTGGCATATGCAAACCATGGGGTGTCTGCTGGCTGGGACAGGCTATGTAGTGAGCATCAGCTGATGGCAGGGCAGTTCCCCTGGTCAGCTCAGCATGGGTGGGCTTGGTCTGTGGCCAAAACTGTGAAAGTTGCCCCAGCCCCATTCTCCATAGCCCTGGATATATCGTGCAGAGCTGACAGCAACAGCTTCCTCAAACTCTGGTTATCACAAAGGCATGGAGCCATAGAAACCACAGGGGCAGGGATTAATGGCCACATCTGTGCAGGAAAACTGTCTCTATCTTATGTTTTTGGGTATCTCCAACACCCTTCATGGCAAGCAAAATATCCCACATGCCAAGAGTCCCCATCCAACTCTTTTTATAGTATACACATTACTTTGGCAAAAGGAACTTGGCAGACATTGAGTTGGTGATCATGGGATGAGAAGATTCTTCCAGACCATTCCAGGAGCCCCCACATCATCACAGCCATCCTGACAAGCTGTAAGAATGTCAGTGTGGTGGGGTATGAGAAAGGCTTGCCTGGCCGAGGCAGAGTTGATGGTAGGAAGGGGCTGTAAGCCAGGGAGTGTGGGCAGACTCCATGGCAGAAAAAAATCCAGCACAAAGGGTTCTGCACTGAGCCATAGGAGTAGCCAAGACAGCACCTTGACCACATCCTGAAGAGACCGACTGGGGACTTTTGACACCTAGAAGGGAGGTGACAAATCTGTGTTGTAGGCCACCAGATCTGAGATTATTTGTTGTTACAACAGGAAGTAAACATACCCAATGGCCCCACAGCTCCATTCACAGGTATGCACAGCCACAGCCAGGAGAGAACTCCAAGATAAAACATGGTAGAGTCCTTACACGTTATTGGTGACATTGTCTATCAGTACTGGCACTGTGGAAAATGGTAGGGGTAGTCCTCAGAAAATTATAAATGGAGCTTCTGTGCAATGTGGCAACCCCACTACTGGGTATATATCACAAGGAGATGAGTATGTCAGAGACATACCTTCATCTACCTGTTCACTGTGGCTTGAGTCACGGCACCCAGAAGATAGAATCAACCTGTGTCTGTTAGTGGATGGACAGATAGGAACTATGGGATACTTACTATTCAGCCATAAAAAGGTTGAATTGTTATTTTTTGGGACAACATGCATAGGCTTGGAGGAAATAAATGAAATAAGGCAGATACTAAAGACAAATACCATGCCATCTTTGTCATGTGCAGAATCCAAAGGTAGTGATCTCACAGAAATCAAAAGTGGGGTGATGCTCACCAAAAGATTGGGATAAAGGGGAGCAGGTCAATGAGACATCTTTTTAAATAACCATATTGATTACATTATTTTAACCATTATGTAAAAGATACACAAACAGAGACACTTCATGGAAGTCTACAGCTACTGGATAATTATTTTTATTTAAAAAAAAAAACTGGGTAGTGGTGGCCCACACCTTTAATCCCAGCACTTGGGAGGCAGAGTCAGGAGGATCTCTGTGAGTTCAAGGCCAGCCTGGTCTACAGAGCGAGTGCCAGGACAGCCAAGGCTATTATACAGAGAAACCCTGTCTCAAAAGGAGGAGGAGGAGGGGGACAAGGAAACGGGCTGGAGAGATGTCTCAGTGGTCAAGAGCACTGGCTACTTTTCTAGAGGACCTGGGTTCAATTCCCAGACTCACATGGCAGCTCACAACTGTCTGTAACTCCAGAAAATCTGGCATCTTCTGACAGACATCCATGCAGGAAAAGCACATAAAATAAATCATTAATTTAAAAAAAGGGGTTGGTGAGATGGCTCAGCAGACAAAGGTTCTTGCTGCAAGTCTGAAAACTGAGTTTCCCAGAACCCATGTGATAGAAGGAGAGAACCTACTTCCTAAAGTTGCCTTCTGACTTCCAATTCTACACATATAAATAGATTAATAAAGTAATAAAATAATAATAATAATAATAATAATGGTGCACCTGTACCATCCTCATGGATGGCTCTTGAACAGATGGGAGTCCCTGTTTCCTAGAGAAGGAAGAGGAGATGAAGAATCCTTTCCCTAGGCCCAGGGCTGTTTTCTTCTGGAGCTCTTTGACTCTGACCTGGTTCTCTGTTGATTCCCAGGAACCCACAGCCTTCCCCCTGCTAAGATAATTCAGTCTCTCAGTGCTCTGCTAATTTGCCTGGGTCAGCCTGGATGGCCAGTAGTCAGCTTTTTTTTTTTTTTTTTTTTTTTTTTTGGTGAGATCATACGCTAAGCAGTTACCCCTCTGTCCCTACATATACCTGATTGTGGTGACAGGGATGGAGAATCAACTCAGTACAATCAAGAAGCAGGTCTTCTCTGTGAATGGCAACCCCTGCTGTTGTGTAGCATGCTCATGACATAGCTGTATGCAATAATAGCTCTGTTAGTGAGCAAAGGTGAGAAAACTAGAAGGAAACCGTGTGTCCTTAATGTGTTCTAGGCATTCTTCATAAACTTGTTGCCTAGTTTTACCAGTAAGAAAATGGTCAGAGAAGTTGACCACTGGGGTCTTGCAGTGGAGATGGGCATCAAATCATAGTGGACATTAAGTTATAAATCAAATGGCCAGTGCAAATGTCCTCCTATGCTGAACATTAGCTTTCCCTGTCAACTTCAGAGCGCACCTGGCTTTGACAGGCATAGAAGGGGCTGAGTGGTTTAGAGCACTTGCTGCTCTTCCAGAGGTCCCAGGTTTTGTTTTCAGCACCCACATTGGGCAGTACAAGCATGTATAACTCAACTCCAGGAGCTCTGATGCCCTCTTCTGGCCTCCAGAGGTCCCTGCACGCATGTGGTGTGCATACAAACAATCAGGTACACATGCAAATCCACATTACAAAGAAGAGGGGGAAGAGAAAACATGAACTCCCAGATTCCATGTATACCTGCCTTTGCGAAGCTACCCCAGCGTGCAGCCCACAGCCTCCTGATTCTGCCTGTCTACTGTGCTATGAGCACTTCTCAGAGCTGTTTGTGGGTGGAGAGAATGGGAATCAGCCCAGATGCCATATAATGGCACCTGGAAAGGTGATTCTGATGGGACTTGGGACATCACGTGCAGGGTACCATGACAGGGCTCTGCCACCAGCCAGGGTCTCAAATGGAGACTGAAAGGGGTGGAGGGAAGGGAGAAATGTTGGGTTCTGTGACTCTCCAGATATCCCAGTAGCCAGTTCTCCATCAGCAAGGGATTTTGATGTGCATCTGGACACAGCTGGAGAAGAGCAGGATTGGTTTGCAACCAGGATACCAGAATCAGACGTGAGGGAACTCTTAAGACAGTCTGTAGCTCAGGACCCTCAGCTTGAAGCCAGTTAGTGCTTGGAGTCTTAGCATCAGTACATGTGACTATTGGAGCTGCAGCCACAGCTACTATAGCCTAAAGGCTAAGGGAACCCCCACTCAACCCACTAGGGGCTCTGACTTCCCACTCTGTCTTGATGGAACTTTGGTCTCACCTCTCCCCATCCCCAGGGGCTCTGTGCTATGTCTCCCATCTTGGAGCCCAGGTCAGCTTTTGACTTAGGTCATCTGCCTCATGTGAGCTACACACTCATACCTTTAAATACCATTTCCATATTTAAAATGACACAAGAGTAGAGCTGAATACCCAACCTAGGTCAGTACAGGAGGAATGCAACTCTCCCATGTGCCCTATGTTCTCCTTTCCATAGCACAGTCCTCTCCCTGCCCAACCTCCCTCTCTTAGGGCACCTGCTGTCTTGACTTCACTCATCAGCAGCACCTGCCACCCTTATGTTGCTGGGGTTGGGGGGTGGCAGTTACTGTACCTTATTTTACTTCCTACGTGTACTTTCCTAGATAGCAGAATTCCTTTTTTTCTTCCTTTGTTTACTCTAGTTCTTAAAAGACTGGCTCACTGAGGAAAGACAGAGGAGAAGAAGGTGGAGGAGACTGCAGAGAGTAGAGGGGTACCCTGGGAAGTGGATGGATGAGTGGGCAGAAGGAAGCAGGAAGAAATTAGTTCCTAGCCTCTGCTCTGTGCAGGCCTGTGCCCTCCTCCCATCTTTCTCTGAATAGCCTAAGTGTTGCCATCATCATCTGTCGTCTTCGTTGTCTTCTTCTTCCTCCTCCTCCCCTTCCTCCTCCTCCTCTTCTTCCTCTTCTTTCTTCCTTTTCCTTCTCTTCCTCTTCTCTTCCTCCTCCTCCTCCTCTTCTTTTTCTTTGCCTCAAGCTCAGAATTTTGTCTGCCTCTTCTTCCCAAGTGCTGGGATTAAAGGCATGTGTCACTACACCCGGCTCAAGTGTCCCCTTCTTCACATTCTCTTCCTCCTCCTCCTCCTCTTCTTTTTCTTTGCCTCAAGCTCAGAACTTTGTCTGCCTCTTCTTCCCAAGTGCTGGGATTAAAGGCATGTGTCACCACACCCGGCTCAAGTGTCCCCTTCTTCACAACACAGGTAACACTCTGATGAAGGTGGAGGCAAGGGAGAAGAGCCTTAGGGACAGAGGAGACTGGACATAGCCAAGATAAACACCCTTCTTACCTGCAGCTGCTATGTCCATGGTGAAGTCACACTCTAGGGTGACAGCTGTATTTCTGTGGGACTGAATCCCTAGTACCTGGCCTCTTCTTCCTTTATTGCTTGCCTGCTCTGAGGTCTCGATGCACATCTACTCATCCTTACACACACACCTGCTCCTGATGGCCCTGAGTCCCACTGAGACCATACTCAGAAGATGAGGATGAGTGCTGGATGGTAGGGGGCCATCACTGCCAATTTTGGAGCATGACCCACAGAGGCCACTGATGAGTTTTGTCTCTCCACAGACATTGTCAACTGTGACCTGAAGTCCACACTGAGAGTGCTCTACAACCTCTTCACCAAGTACCGGAACGTGGAGTGAGGACCCAGTCTGTCTACCTGCCTGGTCTCTCTCACTGCAGGCTGTCTGGACCAGCTTCCCATCTGCCTTACCCTGCTTGCTCCCATCTCTTGCTCTATGCTCTCCCATAAGCCCAGCGACCACCCAGAGATAGTGGACATTAAAATCAGTAAGGCTAACCACATCCATAGGCCCTGGGGACTGACCTAGCAGTGACTTGGGAAATTGTCCCCATTCAAATTCAGATCCCAGATGTCCCTACATGTGCTGTGGGAATCGGCACAGCCTAGAGACTGTCCCACAGAGCATAGAAATGAAGATCAGAGTTAGTCCCCACACGAAGGGAAATCTCTGTTGTGTTCAAGTTCACTAGCCTCATGCTGCCATTAAAGGAGAGGTCATTCTCCCCTTTTACAGACGAGGAAACTGAGGCTCAAAGATTTGGAGATTTACTACTCATTAGCATGTATTTTTCCTCTTTGGGCAACTTACTGATTAATAACTGGTCAACTGTGTTCCATTCTGTATGTATCCTAAAGTGTGTGCATGCTCGAGCAGACTCGCCTTACCTGCATATACCTGCTTCCTCTAGCAGACAAGACACTCTGATCTCACCCTAGGGCAGGCCAGGTCAGAGCTGGGTGATTCGCACTAAAATTGCCAAATTGAATTTAACTCAATTAATAGTGTGTGTGTGGCAGGAGCCGTGTCCCTCAAATCCTTTGTACAAATGAAAATTACCCTTAATTCCTTCAGATTTGTAATAAGCCCACGCTCCGGTTGCAGGATGACATTTGGGAAGGGTTCTGTTTGGAATTAATAGAGTGCCCATTTCGCAGCCTTTTTGCTTGATTGCATGTAATGGATGTGCCCTATATTTTCCTGCAAAGTAAGTACTCAATTCATTATCGTTAGGCAAATGTAGGGTATACTCGCACATGGCAGAGAGCTGGGCACAGACCCACTGGAGCATCGCCTGAGAAGTAGGGCTCATCAATGGGAGACCCTTGAACTTTAAAAAAAAGGGACCTCCTTTTTGCCTTCTAATTGGTCATTTAGAGCATTCTGGCTAAGTCTGCCCACATGCAATTACTGGCTAATTCCAGTTGAGGAAAATGTCAGTCATTTAAACCAAAGCTCAGCATCTAGATTCCTCACTTGAGTGACTCGAGGGCTGCAGGTTACATATCTCCTGGAGCAAACCTGACTTGGAAGGAAAGTTCTGCTGTGCCAGTCTGCATCTGGGTCCTGTAGAAAAAACAAAGGGGCTGGTGGGTAGAGGGAGGGTCAGACTTAAGGGAACAAGAATTGGGGTAGGAGAGCTGAATACTAATGTGTTTAACATGTGGGGGATACCCTCAGAGACAGAGCTGCTGCTATGGTCCTTGGCCTTTGTGCTCTTCAATTGAGAGGGTCTTGAGATAATGACTTATGCTACTGCTGTCCTCACAAAACTCTTATACATACGCCAGGGAGTTGCCAGCTTGGGTTGCCTCCAGAAGTGTGATGACCACCTTGTCACTCTTGTCTTAGTTACATTCCTCATTGGAACAAGATAACCTGACAAAAGCAATTTAAGGGAAGAAAGACTTGTTTCTAAAGGCACACAGCCTATTGTGGAAGGCAAAGCATTGGAGCAGGAGATGCCATGGTAGGAAGAGCACGCAGTCAGGCTCCCTTACCTCAGAACAAGGCATGTATGTCAGAACAAGAGAACAGAGAGGGAGTGGGGCTGGGCTATCAATCCCAAAGGCCCTCCCCCAGTGAGACTCCACCTCCTAAAGGTTTCACAGATTTTCAAAACAGTGCCACCAGCTGAGAAACACAAGTGTTCAAAAGGAACCTGTGGGGGACTTTTTCCACATTCAAACTCAAACATCTAGTAAAGCCTTCGGAGTTTGAAGATTCACCAAGATGGCTTTCCACAACATTCCACATGCTCTTGTTTCTTTTTATACTGGCCATCCAGGGCAGCTCAGAACCCAGAACGTTTAGATCTACTGTGCACCTCCCTGTTTTGTTCTAGGAATTGTTACTTAGCACTGTGAGCGTCTAAGATGTGAAGGCAATGTTCTGCCTTTTGTTGATCTATGTGTACAAACAGAATTCTTTTTTGCATAATTAATGAAATATCTTATTTTTCATTAGGATTAATGTTGGTCTCACACTCTTTTAAATTCCTGGCAGGCAATTGAGATTAGTAGCTGTTTGGCCTGTGTGAGCATTACTGAAGCAGAGTGAAATAAGAGGCCTGCCTCCACTTGAACACACTTTGCTCTTGGGTTGTGCCTTGTCCCTGATGCTCAAGCCATTAGTACATAGTACCTTCCTAAGAGCACTCCTTTAGGTCTTTGTGTTATCACCAGTAGAGAAACCATACCAGAGCTCTGAAAGTTTCTTAATAGTTTGCCAGTGTATCCAATAACTGGGCATTGGGACTAAGGTCTTTGCCTCATTCCAGAGTCCCGGGCTTGTGTCTGATATATAACCCTGTCATCTCATGGAGATGGGTGTTTTCCTTTAGATTCTAGGATCACATACTTCAGACATGAGCATGGTTTTGAAGAAGAAAGAGACATCATCATTATAAGTAATCAAACAGCCTTCATCTCCTAAGAAAATAGAGGAAGGAAAAAACTGAGACAAGAATCATCCTGGCTCACAGTTTGAGGGCATGGGGGAGGGGGAGGGTGGAGAGGCGTGGCAGCAGGAGTGTGAGGCAGCTGTCATATGCAAGCAGGAAGCTGCTGCTCAGCTTGCTGATTTTTTATTTAATCTGGGACCCCAGCCTATGGAGTGGTGCCACCACAGTCAGGGTGAGTCTTCCCATCTCAACTAATCATCATAATTAATAGTTAATGCATAAGTAACACAGAATTCAGAAATTGGGAACCATGTCTGATAAAAATCCTAAATATCCATCTCTCCTTTTCCCCATCGGTCTCCACCTTCCAAGGAGATGACTCCCTTGATCCATTTCTTCTGCATGATTCCAGAAATACTCTGTGCAAATAAAGCCTGAATGTACATACAAAATCTTTGCTGTGCTTTTTCCCAATATAGATATCCCATTATATATACTCTCCTATGCGTTGTCTTTCATTGTGTTAAATCTTGGAGGTCCGTCTTCCATGAGACATTAAATGAACTGTTTTAAATCTTCTAAACTGTTTCTCATGGATGATTTGTACACTTTTCAAAATGAGAATCTGAGTGCTGTGTTCATCCAAATGCATAGCTCTAGTCTGCTTGAGGTAGGAAGGAAACCCCAGCCCAAAGGCTGAAAAAGCAGCATCCTCAGCACAGGACTGAAGACATCTCATCAGAGCATCTCATGCTCCTGGAACCAAATTTTTCTAAGTCTTCCTTTGGAACATAATGGTAAATTGTGTGTATTTTTTTTCTCATGGCTGGTGATCTGGGATTGGGACCCAGAGTCTTACACAAATTAAACATCCTCTACTGCAGACACACACACACACACACACACACACACACACAAACACACACAAAACCCAATGTGTATGATTTGATTAAGGTTTCATTTTTGCACACAATTAGGTCAACTAATTGGCAATTGACTAAGAAAGCCTTTTAAAGGCTACTGCATCCCTTGCAATATTGTGAAGTCCAACTGTCTGCCAGGCTGCAAGAAAAGACACATCTCCCATGTGCAGATAGACTTCATCTACCCCTAAGTCTTGGAGAAAGCTTCCTTATCGGCCACTCACCAGCAGTCTTGAGTTGTTTGCAATTTCCAGCTGCTGCCATAGGGACTTTTTAATTATGGATCATCAGCATTGTCATTATCAGCTCATTTTGTTGTGGGTTGCTTGGTTAACCCTACAGAGGATATTGGAGCTTATTTACATCAACAGAATTCCAGGGCTGTAATTTTCCAATAACTAGACTCCCCAACATGTATACATTGCGGTTCCCATATGAATCACCCTTCTCTAGTGTAAGAGCACATGTATACATCATCCACTCTCTGACCCCCCCCCAATTAGTGCTCATTTATTTTTCCACTGGAAAATGAGACTAGATGGAGTCCATAAGTCAGATAGTTTCATGCTGCCTAAGTAGCAAACTATTTGAGACTCACTGCCTTTAATGCAGCCCCTCCTCAGGAATCTAAGATGGATGCTCCATCCTACCCTTGCAAAAGGAATATATCCTCACACCTTCTCTAATCCCAACAATGAATAAAATCACTCCCATCATATTCACTTGTAACTACTAGAAAATACAAGACAGTCATGCAAACACTGAGAACAGGAGAACCACACTGAGGTACGGTACCACATGGTCGATTGACACACTCACTGGCTATATAAAAATTTAAGAATATTTTTTAATTTTTCCTATGTTTTGTATGCGAGTGTTTTGTCTCCATGTGTGTACACATGCACCACATACACATAGACCTTCTACAGATGTCCGAAGACGGCATCAGATCCCCTAGAACTGGAGTTCCAGATGGTTGTGAGCTACTATGTGGGTATTACGAAACACACTCAGGTCCTCTGGAAGAACAGCAAGTGCTGTTAACCTCCCAGCAATCTCTTCAGCTGAGAAAATACAGGAGGGTGTACACAGGTCTGTGCATGTGAGTGAATTGTGTGTGTGTGTGTGTGTGTGTGTGTCCATGTGCCCTAATGCTTAGTCTTCCATTAATGATATTTGAGTATCTACCAATTTGTATAGCTGGGGGTGGCTCTGGAACCAATCTCCATGACACAAAAGGACAACCATATTAGAAACTATGGAAGAGGTCACATTTACATTTGGGGGTCCAAAGAGGCTTGTGACATTCTGATGTCACACCTGCATCTCAGCTGCTGAAGTGAGGGGCCCTCCATTCACATAGCCTGAGGCAGGAGAAAGCTCAGTTTTAAGAAGAACTGGCTGAAGACCAGAAAGGCCACAGTGCAGAGAGCTTGCAGAAAGAAGGGCCAGCTAGTCACTTGGTGGAATGCAGCACTTGCCACACCAACAATGGGAAATACTAACGTTTCAAACCTCCCTGCTGTGTGGGGAACACTGATACATCCCTCATCTCCCTTCCAAACATGGCTACAGATCAAAGAGAACTGGGAGAAGAGCTGAGGTGTTCACCCACCCCACCTGCAGCCCCAAAGTGGCCTCAATCCATTGTCACCTCCCAGAGGCTTTGGAGAGGGGGCACTCCCAGGCCACCCTGATCTCTCTACTGTCCATAGAAAAGGGCTTGAGAACCCACAGCCTGGGGAAGTCCGGGGTGGGGGGGGGAGGTAAATAAAGGAAAGGAACTGCTTGTGTTCCATGAGGACACCTGCTTCCTCCCCATATAGCTCAAGGAATGCTAGCATTCATCAGCGAGGGGGCAGGGGGACTGCAGGCTAGCCCAAGATTTCAAAATCTGCAGATGCTCAGGTGCTTCAAATAAAACAGTGCATTATTTACAGATGATCTTACACCAAGTTTCAGTGTGTTGTCCTCTTGTTATTTACAACACTACAGGCTATGTGGGGAGGCTCCTTCTGTATTATCTAGGATCTTCCTGTGCTTTAACACAGAGACAAAGTTTTTTCCTGCACATTTAAAAATCATATTTATTTGTTTATTGTTTATTTATAGGGGAGGTGCATAAGAACCTGCCACAGCATCCATGTGGTAGTCAGAAGACAACCTGTGAGAGTCAGGTCTCTCCTCCCACCAGGTGAGTCCTGGGGATTGAACTCAGGTTGCCAAACTTAGCAGCAAGTGCCTTTACCCACTGAGCCATCCCCCAACCCGCTTCCTGCACATTTTTGAACTGCTGTTGTTTGAATGAATGCAAGCAGAACCTACAGGTGTGGGTAGTTGATTTATTATTAAGCTCCTGGATGTGGGCTAAATAACTTCATTTTCAGGCTAGCAAGATGGTTTAGAAAGTAGCCATCAAGCCTCATGACTCATTTTATCATCAAGACCAACGTGGTGAGAGGAGAGAACTGAGTCCCCCTGATTATCCTCTGACGTTCATACACACACATGCCCACACACATACAATAAATAAATGTAATTTAAAGAATAATTTGAACCAGGTGGTGGTGGTGGTGCATGATCTCTGAGTTCAAGGCCAGCATGATCTACAGAGCAAGTTCCATTCCCAAATTCATTCTAATTGGCGAGCGTAATTTTCTCAATGATGTCACTTTACATAATGTCTACCAAAAAGGGTCCCTAAGCACTTCCCTATCAGAGTTTCATGAAGATCTGGGGTGTTTGTTTGGCTCAGGGGGCAGTTGGTTTTTTGAGACAGGGTTTCTCTGTGTAGTCCTGGCTGTATTAGAGCTCACTATGCAGACAAGGCGGCCTCAAACTCACAGAGATCCTCCTGCCTCTGTCTCCCAAGTGCTGGAATTAAAGGTGGGCACCACCATGCTCGGTGAAAATCTGTTCTTTCCTTGGAGTATTTATTTTAGACATAGTAGCCCTGGCTGGTCTGGAACTGGATATGTAGCCAAGGATGACTTTGACTGGTATTACAATTGTGCTCCACCACAGCTGGTATTATACAGTGCTGGGGATGGAACCCAGGGTGGCAGCTAGTCCAGTAGTGCTGGCCCCAGAAGCACCCTTTTCCTTGACACCCATTTCCACCCTCATATATTCTTGCCTCATCCCACTGCCCTAAGAAGCCTGCAGGCAAACAGGTCCTGGCTTTGATGCTGCCCTCTGAAAGGGCACTTAGAGGAATCTGAAAAGTACCATGAGTAAGATAAATGATGTTTTATCAGTGAAACAGACTTTTCATTTCTTTATATCGATTTTTATGTTTTCACATCTTTAGATATGATCGTCTGGCCCAGGGCGGCATTCCAAGGCACACAAACATCATTAAGGCAAGAGCATGAAAGAGTGTGATGTTTTATTGAGGTGGACAGGACAATAGATAAATATTTAATCTGTGGCACATTTACGCAGTATGGGAGCCGGGCTGGGGACACATGACTCCCCAGCTGTTCTGTGACTTCCTGGAAACCACAACAATAGCCTGTTGCCCACCCTGGGTTCCTGCCCTTGGCAAATATTTGCCAGAATTTCTGAAACCAGCTCCTGGAAGCCTTTCCTTGCTGAGACCACTGAGGATACCACATCTTCCCTTATTTGTAGTGATATTGGAGGGTAGATGCTCTCACTGAATAGGGCATTTGGATTAAAGCCAGGAGCCATGAGGTGGCAAGCAATAATTATGCACTCAGCTAAGATATGGGAGGGTGTAGACTCCTGTTTCTCTTGCTGAGCTCTCTGATCAATATAATGTATATGGAAGCTTGATGGTTAGTTTTCATTGTCAACTTGACAGTCTAGAATCACCTGAAAAAAGAGGAAGGTCTCAATATTGGCCTGTAGACATGCTGTGGGTTTGTCTTGTGTTTATTGATGTGGGAAGACCCAGCCCACTCTGGGAGGCACCATTCCCTATGTCTCCCTCAGTGTGTAGCTAGATGATGGCTACAGTGTTCTTATACCTCCTTCTCCATTCCTGGTGACATAGAGGAACTAGAGGGACCGTGACTCATTTTGGCTAGTCCCTTCACTGAGGATCTTAGACTGTATAAAAAGGAGAAAGTTAGCTGAGCACTGGTGTGATGCATTCATTGCTCTCTGCTTCCTGGCTACTCCTGCCATAAGACCAGCTGCTTCGTGTTCATGCTGCTTTGACTTCCCTCCCATGATGGGTGAACTGTACCTCGAACAGTGAGCCAGCATAACCCCTTCTCCCTTAAATTGCATTTGTCAGATATTTTGTCACAGAAATAGGAACAGAAAATAAGACACCCTACTGTCCTACTTAGGAACTGCATGCTGTCACAGGCATGAAGACCTGAATTCAGTCCCCAAAACCCAAGTTTTAAAAAGGAGAAAAAAAAAAAAAAGCCAAGTAGGTCATATGTGCTTGTATCCCAGAGCAAAGGAAGCAGAGGCAGTTAGCCAAGCCAGCTGACCAGTTCCAGGCCAGTGAGAGAACCTGTCTCAAATAAACAAACAAACAAACAAAACAGGTGAGCTGGGGAAATGGCTCAGCACAAAGGAATGCTTATTCTCAAGC